GAATATGAATGAAAATTTTAGATTCTAACGGGTGGGCCAATTGATTATGATAATAAGTGTAAGCTCGGTTTTTAATTTCATTGATTCATTGGAATCATTTGATTATCTAATTACAATGATTTATTTATTAGAAGTTTGGATCTTTCTTATAGATGATCGTATGGAATACGAATGAAAATTCTAGAGTATAACGGGTGGGATAATTGATTTCGATCAAGAGTTTAAGTTCGGTTTTTATTGTGATTGAAATATTATTTGATTATGTAATTGCAATAATTAATTTATTGGAAATTTGAATCTTTCCTATGAATCGTATGGAATATGAATGAAAATTCTGGAATATACCGGGTGGGACATTTGGTTTCTATAAGTAGTGTAAGCTCGCTTGATTTTTGATTGAAATATAATTTGATCATGTAATTGCAATGATTTATTTATTGGATATTTGAATCTTTCCTTATGGATCGTATGGAATATGAATGAAAATTTTAGAGTATAACGGGTGAAACAATTTATTCATTTCGATAATAAGTATAGGTTAGGTTTTTATGTTTTATTGATTGATTGAAATAATTTGATCATCCAACTAATTTGAATGTATATTTTATTGGAAATTTGGATCGTATGGAATATGATGAAAATGAGATTCTAACGGGTGAGACAATTCATTCATTTCGATAATAAGTGTAGGTTCGGTATTTTGATTGATTGATTGATTAGAATAATATGATCATCTATAACCAATGTTAATAATTATTTTAATTAGTAATTTATATCTTTCTCATTGATGATTATATTGTATACAAAGAAAATTAGATTCTAACGGGTGAGACAATTCATTCATTTCGATAATAAGTGTAGGTTCGGTATTTTGATTGATTGATTGATTAGAATAATATGATCATCTATAACCAATGTTAATAATTATTTTAATTAGTAATTTATATCTTTCTCATTGATGATTATATTGTATACAAAGAAAATTAGATTCTAACGGGTGAGACAATTGATTTCGATAAGAAACGAAAACACCTGTTTTCATTTTTCCAATTAAATTAATTTGATCTCATCTACAACCAACATTGATAATTATTTTAATTAATAATTTGTATCTTTTTCATAGATAATCGTATGAAATGTAAAGATAATTAAATTCTAACGGGTGAGACAATTAATTTCGATGAGAAACGTAGCCGCAATTTTATTTTCATCGATTGATTGGAATAATTAGATCGTCCAATTAATTTCTATGATTATTTTATCGAACCATGACCTGTTTTGTTATATTTGGTATTGACGTTGTTATCTGTATTTACTCTATAAACGCAACTGGTCTCACGTAACCGATTGTTGTCTAGTATTATATTGAGGTATGACATCGATTGGTTTTCGTTTTATAGTTAGTTAGATGTATGCTACATGGTATATAATACGGCTTCCTGAATGAGAATACATAACTCTCAATTCTTATCGAAGGACGATTACTAATCCTATTCGATTCATTGTACTTTAATCCTATCTTTTGATTATTTTCTTTTGTTAAAAGTTTGTTAAACATATTTGGGAACAAAAAAAAGAAAAGATCAACGATACGTGACATTTTTTAAACGAGAAATAAATAGTATTTGAAAAATAAACAAATAAAATTTCAGTATACACAAATATTATTCGCGATAGAATTAGGAGAGGGGGGTGATTTATAGTGTTGTGTAATATTTTATTAAATAAAAGAATAAAAATATTGAATCGGTTATATAATTATATTTATAAATACTTATGATTGTGTAATAATAATATAATGATTTAAATAATTTGTGTTAGATTAATTCTAATATCTTTTGGTCATATATATATATATATTATTATATATATATTATAATCAGGTTTTTATTGCACAACTTACAAAGTTTTTTACAATGTCTTATTATTATATCACATATAATTATCTCACATTTTTGGCTTGCTCTTAACACACCTCTCGTCTACCTCTAATTATCACCACTCTTAAAATTATACTATCCAAAAATTATAACTACCCAAATCTCACTCGAGTTCGTCTTCGCCTTCCCTCCCATCCTCCTCTACCCTCCTCCTTTTACACAGCTCCTCTACTTCCCTGAAAAATTCACACATCCCAACCTGAATCTTACCTCCTAACATGTTTATTACTTCCCCTCTTATAGCACCTTCCTCTACTCCAACCATCCACTCCTCTACTTCCTTCCTTCCCTTCTCGGAAATCAATTCCCTTCCTCTATCACAGATTATCAAATGCTCCAACGTCTCTACATACTCTCTGCATAACCTACATTTCCAGTCCTTTTCTCCTTTCTTTCCTGCCTTTCCTAAGTTGCCACATCTTACCCTTGCCCAAACTTCCTTTACCCCTCCCCCTATTCCTTCTTCTGACCAATACTTCCATGGCATTTCATCACCTTCTATTAAATGCTTGTACATATTATTGTATTCAGACTCCCTAATTCTTTCCTCTTCTTCCCTTAGGCTTCTCCCTTTTAGTTCTTCCAGTCCCATTTTTATCTTCTCTCCTATCCTCCCACCATCTCYTCTTTCCCTTATCATCTCTATCAAGTCCTCAATACCCATTTCCCTCAACACACTGACCAGATTCTCCCCCCATTTTGATGGATTCCCGTTCGTTATGGCCCTTATTTCCTCCATCACACATATTTTTGGCATATATATATATATAATATAATACTAATATTTATTAGTAAATATATTATTCAATGATTTTGAAAATACTAGAACTTATTTAGATGAATACAAAGTTATGAAGACAGAAAAAAATAAAATTGTTGAAAAGTGTATTCCTTTAAATTAAATTTCCAAAACGTATGACAAAATTGAAAAAAGAAATCAATTTGTATTAATTATTATAATGATCTACTGATCACTTATATTACACGTTAAATATTTAATTAAAAATACCGAGCCTGTATATTAGAAATATTCATAATTTGTTATATTAATTCTAATATCTATTGATCATAAACATATTAATATCATTCAATGATTAAAAACATTAATTAAACATATTTTTGAACAATTACTAAATCCAATAAATAAATACAAAATAATAAAAAGAAATTGTGTTGTGAAAAATCTATTCCTTTAAATTAAATTTCGAAAACTTATGACAAAAGTGAAAAAAGAAATCAAGTTGTTAATTATTTGATTATAAATACCGAGCCTGTATATTAGAAATATTAATAATTTGTTATATAAATTCTACTATCCATTAATCATATACATATTAATATCATTCAATGATTAAAAACATTAATTAAACATATTTTTGAACAATTACTAAATCCAATAAAAATAAATACAAAATAATAAAAAGAATTTCTTAATAAATCTATTCCTTTAAATTAAATTTCAATAACATAATATAACAAAAAGAAAAATCTATGAAATAAATATATATCTTAAAGTTTAACAATAAAAACAACAAACCAACCAACCAAACCAACCAACCACCACCACCACCATCAACGATATTCGGTTATTTTCAGCATTGACATTTTCAGTTTGTGGATTTAACAAGCGTCATAGTCTTCTTAGTCCTCACACAGTTAGAAACATAGTCATCGTCGTTGTAGTTGGTTAAATGTTCACGTTCCTAGTCTCACTTGTTAGAGTATACTTTAACACACATTGACGTTTTCTCTCCCCAGTCCCCCCCTCTTCCCTCTCTTCCCCCTCTACCCCCAGACCCCCTTATTCTCTTCCAGGTTGCATTCCAAGTTCTATATAGTTATACAACATCATCCCCTTTTCATCCCCCACGAGTCGTTTTATTCCACCCCACCCCACCTCATCACCCCTAGCTCCCCCCCACCGTCATGGGATTGGTTGAAAGGGGGAGGGGAGAATATATGGGTCATGGCTGCTTCTGCTGCTGTTACTGCTGCTGCTACTGGTGGTGATGCTGATGTTGGTGGTGTTGGTTTAGTATTGGTGTTGGTTTAGTGTTGGTGTTGGTTTTGCTGCTACTATTACTTGCTGTTACTACTGTTAGGTAGTCCAGGGTTGAATATAGACCCTAAACCTTATTTTCTTGTTATATATATATATATAGAGTGGATTGAACCTATGGTGAAAGAAAGATAGAGAAGGGACAACTAAATGATGATCGTATACTGGGTGTTCGATATAAAAGTATTATATATATATGTAATTTGATATTTGAAAAGAGGGTTTTTGTTTTATTTAGTTAAAATATTTAATTATTTCTAATTATATTGTTAATTATTTATTATATTATTTTAATAATATTTAATAATTAATTTATTTAATATTTTTATTATATTATTTCTATCGCGAAATAATATTCGCGTATAATGATATTTTATTTTGTTTATTCTTAAATACTATTTATTTATTGTTTAAAAATGTCACGTATCGTTGATCTTATTTTTTTCTTCCCAAAATGTTTGATTTAATGATCTCTTTAGAATGTTTAATATTTTATGCGTATATTATTATATAATCAATTATTTGTTTTCTTTTTTTTTTTCTTTCGATTCGTAATATTTGATTTTTATGTATTTTACATTTTTTTTTTTTTTTAATATGAACATTTGATTTGTAAATGAAGTCACAGTTTGTTTAACATATTTAATGTAATATATGATATAATTGATATTAGAAATATATTTTAGGTTGTAGAAATTCGCGTGTGTTAGATTTGAAAGAAAATAATTAAATGAAAAATAATATTTATTAATTATTATAAATGTTAACTTCGCCTAATGTTTTTTTTTTATAATTGTTCCTATAATGTATTAATTTTCTATAATGTTGTATGTAATATTAAATTGATTGCAAAAGTTCCTTGTCAGAGATTTGAAATGAAATTAAATGGGAATGCATTTATCGTCATAAATAATAATAATAATTTCTAATAATCATATATTATTTTCTATAATTTTTAATAATTGTTTATTTACCACCACCACCACTACCATCCCCCTCCTAACCCCTGACCCAAACGTTTCACATATTTTTGAATTATATTTTATAATAATTGTTAATTTGTATAACAATGATCGATTTCAATTAATTGACTCATGGTAATTGGACATTTTTTTTTTTTAATCGTTTCGTTAAATACTATAAAACCATTCAAATATCTCTGACCCTTTTTTTCTTTTTTATTTTTTATCACTCCTCTTAATTTTACAATCGCATCGCGAATGCATTTTCATTCAACTCGATATAATAAAGTTTTATTTATTTACTTATGTATTTTTTGTTTGTTTGTTGTTTTTTTTTTTTACCTATTACGTATCTTTTGTTTTCATTTTACCTTATGGGATTGGTTCAGAAGCAAGTTTGATATTTTTACATTGAAGAAAGGTTGTGTAAGGGAAAAAGTAACCGGAGCGTGTTGCACTTATCTATAATACCTTTTTACGTTGTTATTTATTTATAAAACGGAGGAAACGAAGGGAGAAGATAAATACAGGGACGTGTGTATGTGTATGTGTATATATATTACACTATGATGTTTTAAAAAGACACATATTTTCAAACTAATCTTTTAACTTCGTTGAAATAATATTTAATAATTCTAAATTAATTATTAAATATTATGTAATAATGATAATAAATTAATTAATAATAATTTTTGAATTTGAAATTAGTTTTAATAAATAATCTTTTTAAATACATACACACACATAAATAAAGTTGTTGTATATTGTAAAACTATAAGATGATTAAGAAAATATATATTTATATGTGTATGGCTGTGTGTGTGTGTGTAATGCATGCATTCATACATATATATAAGAGATATTCGTGAATGAAGTAAAAACTGGGCCAAGTGTATTTTCGTAAATCAGATAACATGAGTATCAAAGTAAAGTCAAGGAATACATATATATATATATGTGTGTATAAATACTAAAATAATGTAAATAATAAAATATAGAAA